CATTTTTTTACTGATTTTTATTGTACTTCAAAGAATATTTTCGAAATGCAACATATGTTCTCCATAGAATTCCTGAAAATACAAACGATTCCGCTGATGTCGCGTTAAATAAAGGCAAAAATTTCGCTGTAAAGATCAGCCCAAACCAAACTTGTGCAAGGTAAGATCAGATTTAGATTTATTTAGAAAAAAAAAAAAAAAAAAAAAAAAAAAAAAAAAAAAAAAAAAAAACACTGTATGTGACGTAGGGGGAAGAAGATGATCTGCGCACGTTTTCTTGAGTTCCAGAATACCTTCCCGGGATTTTAACAATAAATAGTTGAAAGATGAGTAAAGGTTTAACATAATAAATGAAAATAAATTTTTAAAATCGCAAGATTAACAATATTTGAAAAAATATACATTTTTGTTGCCGAGTGATAGAAAACTTATTTGCATCGGTAAACGAATAGAAAGTATGAATTTTCTGCATTGCTAACAAAATAGTAACTTGCCCTTACCTCTACTCTTACCATTACAAGCAAAAGGAGAGTTCAACAAAATGTGCGTATACTGAAGCTACATTTACGTCCAGAAGCAAAACAAGGGGCAATCTCAGCATTTGCTCAATGGATCAGGCAAACTGGACAAAAACCTGATCGAGATGGAGGTCACTGACCCGGAGGCTGAAGTACATTATTTGTTACAAACATTAGGTCTATTAAAAAAATATATAATACAAGTGTAAACTAATTCATTTTATATCACTGTTTTGTTAAAATAAACATTATGTTTCATTTTGATAATCAGTATAGTCTCTAATTGTATAGAAAGAGTTATGCAGCAGAAAAGATTTTACTGTTTACTTAAATTTGTGAACCGACTTCAATTGCTTAATGTCATCTGGCAATGCGTTGTAAAGTAACGTACATGTATTGTATTTTGGGTTTCTGATAGTGAGCTGTTGAAACTGACACTTCGTTAACGTGATTTTTACGACGTAAATTATAATTTGTAATTATAAATATCAGTATTGCCTGAAAATATGTTCCCACCGTTAAGTAAGTCACGTTTGACAAATATTACAGATTCGTAAATACATAGGCAAGGCAGTGCTAAGATTCCAAGCTCAATGAAGAAAGGTTTGCAAGGGTAACGCGGATGGCATTTTCTCATTATTCGAATAATTTTCTTTTGCAATCTAAAAGTCTGAGTACTACACGAGATTCCCCAGAATTTTATACCACGTAACAGGCGGGAATGTACATTTGCAAAATACACGCAATGAGCTGCATGAATGCTGATAGAATTTGAAAGAATTCTGAATGCGTAACTTAATTCAGTGTTTAATTTTATTGTATGTACATTCCATTTGAGGTTTGGCTGAATTGACAGACCTAGAAATTTTGTTACCTGAACATTAGCTAATTGCATATTAATTTTCAATGGAATATGCGAATGCTGATTTGAAAGGCAAAAATGCATTGGAACTGTTTTTCCTTCATTAACTATTAATTTGTTATTACAAAATCAATTTGAAACGTCTAAAATCGTACTATTTGTTTCTTTTTTGCGAAGAACACTCGTGTCAGTGTAAATAATGTCCTTTCATGCCAGTACGGTATTTCTACTCTTTCAGATCGGTACGAGGTTATTCAATCTATGGCGATACCACTAATTCCATAAGAAGGGAATTTTGATAGCAAGATAACGTCAATAACGTCAAAAGCTTTCGAAAGATCTAAAAATATTCCAATTCATTTTGGTGCATCGATGAAGCAACACCTTTAAGAAAAGAAAAAAAACGGCAGTTTCGATAGATTTTGATTTTCTAAACGTGTTGCGAGTCTGAAAACGCTTCGTTTTTCCTGAGAAAAGTTTCCATTCGCGTATAGAAAAGCCTCTCTAATATTTTAGAGAAACCTGACAAAAGAGAAATTGGCCGGTAATCTTGAATTTCATTTTTGCTCCCTTTTTTAAAAAGTGACTTAATTTTCGCTGTTTTGAAAATATCTGGAAATATTTCTGTGCATAAAGAAGCATTGAAAATGTGAGTTAACGGGTCTATAAAGGTAGGTACACAAGTTTTCAATAAACATTCCGGAAATTCATCTTAACCAGATGAATATTTACCTTTTAGTTTACTGTCTATTCGTAAGATTTCGTTAGAATAAGTTTCATAAATAAAAATCGTGTCGAAAATTTTTTTGGAAGGTAATGATGTTGAATTTTGCGGTTTTAGGCCCTTCGTGAGTTCAGCCGCAATTCTAGAAAAGTGTTGGTTGAAGAGATCTGCCACTTTTTCCCGATTACTGGCTTCTCTTTCATTATCCTTTAAAACAACATTCTCTATTAAGTAATGAGACGATGTGGTCGTATTTTTTACGATATTCCACTTTGCTTTAGTTTTGTTATTAGCGTTCAAAATATCATGATTATTTTTGCCTGAACTATTACTTTTCTAGAGATTCCTTTGTATTCTCGGAAGTAGATATGGAAAATGGACGATACGTTATGACGTTTGGAAATAAAGTAAAGCGTACGTTTGTTTTTAAACGATGTCCTTATACCTTGTGTGATCCAAGTATTATTTTTCCGTAAAATATTTTCATTTTTTTGAGTGAAAAGCATGCGCTTAAGTGAAATTAAAGGTTTGAGAAAAAACAAATTAATTCGTGTCAACAGCGTTATAAACTGAGTCCCATGATTCCTTCAGCAAGTTGTCCGTAAATAATTTTATGTTATCTTCAGTGAATGCTCTGCACATGCGTGTATAATCTGTGCCAGTGTTCGTATTATTAGTAATTGTAAGAATTTGTGCATCATGGACACTGTAACCTAGATTAGTAGTTTTTTTATTTCATATCTAGTTGTGGTTTTGCTAATTATAGTTAGTTAACTTGAACGAAAGGAAGAAGCCTCGATTACATCAGTAACATATCCGACAGCTTGAGTTGTTCTCGTGAACTGGTTTTGATCTTATTTTTTATGTCAATTTTCTTTGGTTTTGGAGCATTTTAAAAGCTTTTTATCGGTCGTTTTGGGTAATGTTTTAGGTTATTAAAATCTGCCCCCTACTTGTTACATATAGGGATAAAAATTTAAAGAAAAAATTGGAGCGGCTTTTGAAGGGGAAAAAAAGCGATAATTTCATGCGCAAAAACTAATTTTTAAAAATTGTATATGACCTATTTTAAAGAGCTAATTTAATACCACAGACTGAGGCAAAAATCTCTATTTTCAATTTTGTAGTTTTAAATTAGTTTCAATTTTTGAAAAAATCGAATTTTCAATGCAAATGATACCTGCACCATTCTCGTAAACGTTCTTCACACTATTCAACAACAAAATTTAATCTCATTTGGAGCCTTTTTTTTTTTTTTAAATGTCTTAGGGGCTTCATGTAAAATATCCCCCAAATCAAAATATATGTTTCAAATCCCAGGGGCCGCAACATTAGCGAGCGCGCTCAGCTGAACGGTTTATGCGCTAGCGTTGTGCACAGACGTTTTGCCGTCAATCGATTTTTCGGTACGAAGGACAAACAAAACAAGGATTCTGGTTACACAATGTGTTAAAACGGATTCCCCCCCCCCCCCAATATTTTAGCAACTGAATTTATCCACTTTCTCGCTTCCAGGACCCGGCAATGAAGAGTTTTTGTGTCGAAAATGCGCAGTTTTCTGGCGCACAATTACAATATTTTCCCTTACGTAATAAGTGAAAGAAAGTAAAGATAATTCTTATAAATAATTAATTCCGTCAATTAGAAATAATCATTACCCAGAATTCTACATCGACAATCAGGTTTTTGAACACGATAACTTTTTTCCCTGTGTATTTTATGAAATTAATATTCCGTTTTCCAGAAAGTGGTCACCCTGTTTTTTGGTGTACAATGTTATGTATTCGCCAAAAGTAGTTGAAATAATATTTCTGTGACACTCGTGGAGATTAATTGTGCATAAAGACATTTTTTTTAGAGAAATTTCAACAATATAGGTATAAAGATTAAAAAATACTTTTTCTACGTTTATTTTCGCACACGATTTACGTAGCTTTTGTATTGCAGTAGCAAAAAAACGGCGATTTTTTTACAGAAAAAAAATTGTTTTGTGGATACAGATGCATAAAATGAAATTCTTACAACTAAATTTAGTAAACATCATCATCTACTACGTTGTAGGAGTTTCCACGTTTTGCGGGTACTTGTTTCTGTGTGCTAGTGGTGCTACAAAATGGCACAGACTTTTTCGTACTAGTTTCCTAATCTCGTTAGTCTGGGTTAGCATTTCGGTTATGCCCCCCCTACCTATTAGCGCTTTTTTTCCCCCCCCATATTTTCTCAGTTTTTCGGTACCGTGAGTTACGTTAAGAAATTCATAGAAGAGTGAAATCCTGGTCCTGTATGTGAATTTTTACTGAAACAATTGCAGCTTTATTTGGAGGAGAAAAAACACACACACACACATACCACATCAATAAATGCTCCACATTTTTTCTATGTTTAGAACAAGGGACGTTTAAAAGAAGTGTGTAAGTTTCATTATTCAATGAACTCTCAGAATTTTCAGAAAATGAAAATGCAAGGATGTATGTGCTGTTGTAGCACCACAAAATTAATTCCTCACATACTGCATATGCAGTACATTTAAGGCTAAAATAAGCACTGGATATGTTCCTGAATGAACTGAATTCAGTAGCAGAAATATATTTTCAATTCAACTTTGAAATTTAAAAAAAAAAAAAAAAAAAAAAAAAAAAAAAATTTTTTTTTTTTTACTGTGAGATCAAGAGATATTTGAAGTGTAAGAAATGCAGAAATTGTGACATTATAATATTACGAATTGAAAACATAATATTGCAAGGAAATATATACTGTTGTACACTTTAGTTTGTAACAGATTTCATTTAACCCTAATAACTCTAGCATTAATATTGTTCTTTTGCTATTTTCAAAAGTAGTATTAGCAGATGAGGGACTAGCACACCTTTATTACTGTTCTTTACTACGTATGAGTAAATAATTGAAAGAAAAAATTCAAAACTTCTTTTACAAAATATATACTTAAACATTCCTTGTATTTCATGCAAAATTACTAACATTTTTGAAAAATTGTACATGACCTCATTTCATGATATGCCTTGGAACAGATTTCATTTATGAAAACATTTTTTATTATTATTTTTGCAGGAAATCACAGTTGTCTCCTGGGGATTATCAATTTTGGAGAAATAGTCAGTATGGTTAAGGCACTAAAGTTGTTCACAGGGTCCAATAAGACGTCTTTCTATAGAACAATCACCAATTTCCGTTGCAGTGTTATGTTACTTTCTTTTTACTACGAAAAACATAGGCAAAAAGTAAAAACATGTATATTGCTTCACATAAACACACACCACGTTTGGGTACCACTTCTGCCCTTCTCCTTTTGTGTGTAAAATTGGATTATCTATTAGATTAAAATCCACTATTAAATATTTTGTAACAGTAATGACAATAAAATGTATGTACTCTAATACACAGAAATTAGGCTCAACTTTAAATTCATAAAATTTAACATTGCAATAGCAGCAAAGTCACATTTGAAGAGGCCCTAGGACCATCAATTCCTAGAGGTGGTGACTTGTACTTCATACAACTACATAAAATTGATTTTAAAAAGGTAACATTTTTAGAAAGTGTACCTAGCAAAGATTGTTGTTTATCAGCAGTATGCAAGACACTTTTAACAAAACATTTTGTGTGATTTTGTTCAGCAGCATTTGTGCTGTTCATCATTAATCTGCAAAGCTACGATCATAAAATTAAATTTCTTGATTTTAGCAATACCAATTTTTTTGTCTGATGAAAATATTTTATTTTAATAATAATGTTGTGAATTACAATAGCCTTTTAATAAAAAAAAAGCAATACAAAAATAAAAATATAAAAAAGAATGATGTAATGAAAAAATCGGGTTTCGTTTATGCCCATTTCCATCTTCTTTCTGAAACAGAAACCAGAATTACACAGTGGAAAAAAATCTCAAAATATCACTTATGGGGGCAATATGAATACCATTCCTAGCCATCTTTCCACGTGTGTGCACTAATGCTCAAGAGAGAATGTGTGCTCTCTTGAGCATTAGTGGATAGAATTTTTTAGTACAGCGAAAGTATTTCCCAAATAGAAATGACGAAATAAAAAATCCTTATGTTCTAAGAAAAAGCTTAAAAGTAACTTTACATTTACTTCAAATAAATGCCTTAGTATATCATTGATCTCTCAATAAATAATACTTACATCCATCATATTCATTCCCAAAAATTTATTATAACTTTCAAAACATTCATATTTCTTTGACGATTATTAATTAATGGATAATATGTCCCATTCTTTAAAATTATCACATTAAACAAAATTTACAATTTTTAGATTCACTTTTATGGTTTATTAGAAAAGAAATAAGTAAATAGGCATTGATTGTTTGAAACATCAAGGTTAAACCTAAAGGTGTAGTGCAACAGAAGAAAAAGAAGAGGGAGAAGAAGAAAAAGAGGAGAGAGAAGAAGAAAAGGAGGAGGGAGAAGAAGAAAAAGAATAAGAAGAGAAAGAAAAAAAAGAGATGTAGGTTATGGCTATTGTGATGGCTGATGCTTGCTGCCTGTTTGCGATAGCTGGGATTGCAATTTTTGAATCTGCAGATATGTTGCTATTTTTAAAATCTTAGTGATACATATTTATAAATGCGTTTTGACTCAAACTGTCAAGACAAAACTTTTATATTTATATTATTTTACTTATACAAATTCTTAAAATTATTCAGTTAAAACAAATTTTGAATTAACATAAATTAAAATATTAACCTGAATAATTAGACCACTTTACCCTGCCTACTTATCATTAATCTATTTCTTATAATTAAACTTGTTCAATGAATTAGTTGCCCAAACTGGAATTTGAATCTAGGCCTTCTGGAATTGGAACCCAGTTGCTCCATTTCTTATATCTTTAATGAAATGAATAACTTAGACATCAAATGTAGTGTAGGTCCCAATCACCAGTCCTTTCGAAAATATCTAATTTTCTCTTTTTGCAATTTCTAACATTACATTTTGATATCTTTGTCTGAAGAATCATTTTTCTGTTGAATGAAAAATCAAGCATCATAATAAAAAATTTAAAAATCAGGGTATAAAAACAAAACAGCAAATTATCATCACATTTCAATTTTAAATGCAAAACCAAACTAGATCAATAGTTACGAATAAACAAAGTCATAAATTTTCTTTTCTTTCAAAAGACAATTTGGTTCCCTGAGCAAAGGCAAGCAGTGAATCCAACTTTATTATATATTCGATACATCTTAAAAATTATGGTCCTAACATCTTAAGAAATGTCAGGTTAGCAGCATTTATAACACACTTTACCAACACTTTTGATTCTGTCAATCACTCTAATCTTTAAACAATTGAAAGCATTTGGTTTATAGGGCTGTAGAGTGGTTCTTTAATTATTCCAGAATGTTAAATATAGTAATGCCATCTTGGATGATTTTAGTCTTCTTTTGGGTGTCTCAAGGTTCTCATTTGAGATGCTGCTTTTTACTTTTTCATATACATAAGTATATACAAAGTAGCACATATTGTGTAGATAAAATTACACAGTGCTGTGGAAAATCATGTTCGGATTAAAATAGAAATACATGTTCTGGGGTCACCTGATCAAAAAAAGTGTTTTTATCAAAATGTTCATCTATCAGTTTGTCTGTACATCTGTGAACGATGCTAGTGACTATAATACTACATTCACTTGAATATAAGATTAGTTTTTTCCTAAATATCTCATTTGTAAAATAGGGGTCATCTTATATTCACAGATTAAGTCTCGTCAGTTAGGGTGCCAGTTCACAGCTGGCTATTGACTAAAGTTGACCTCTTGATGCTTTAATGAAGTTCTTTAAAATTTCACTGATCCCAAGGGGATGATACTGATCCTGTTGGGAACCCATGATATAAACAATATACAATTTTTGCGAAAGGAATAAAGATATTTTTCCTTCGAGGCATTCAATGAAGGGAAAAAACAAAATGGCTAAAACTAAAATACTCAGAGAAACTTTGCCACACCATATTACTTACTAATGAAAGAATTATTATCAATACATCATAACAACTTAGTATCCACTTACAGTGTAAATGTTTATTCACTTCTTCCAAAAATTTATTTTCTTCTACTGTTAAGTCCTTATGTGTTTTATTCATCAGTATCATTTCTCTCACAATCTTTAAATATTTTTTTGGCGTTCGAACCTGAATGACAAAGACACCACTTCATTAGAAGTTCTTGCTAATAACTAACAAAATTCTCAAAATTAAATACTTACTTCAAATGACTCACTGGACCATTTCTTCCCTATCTGAATTTTCTGATCCTCCATTCCTCCAACAATTTGCGAGCAATGCATCTCATTATCTACATTTTTAACCTGTTCTTCCTTAATTCTATCCCTTCGTGGAGAGCTGCAGCTGCGCAGATTTATGATCTTCCTCCCAATAACTTCACCACTGTTGGTTAAAAACAAAGTAAACATAATATTTTGAATTCATCTTAACATTCTATGACTTTTTAAGTACAAAAGATACAGTTTGCCACCTTCTTTCTTTCAACCCAATCATTCTCTGATGCCAATTTGATTCCCAGATTGTCCCAGACTAAACCAGAATGTATGGATTATATCAAACGACAGTGATGTTGCTACTGTTTGAATGATGTAATGGTTTTATGTAGTATAGCATGCAGTGGGCGCCTGAAGGTTGCAAATTAGGAGAGAGAGCAAATGCATTTGAGCAATCACAGAAATTTTTGTCTCTTCAGAATATTCCTTCAATGAGCGCAAACCCCAGCAAGTACTTTGTTCACTACCGAGTTGCAAGCGAAGGGATTTAATTTCTTATCTAAAACAAAGTTTTACATTGATAACAGAAAATAAAACTATGCTCATGTAAATAAGAGATTTTAAAAAGTATTTGTAATTAACAAAACAGCATTTTACATAATCAGATGAAAGACTATATCCTTCACTCAATTAATAGATTTATAAATGCTAGCATACCCAGTACAACCATGCCCACACAGACTATCCTATGAAACCCTAAAGTCTACATGTGACTCCCTGAATCTCATCTCTGCTATATGCATTCACTACCAAGCAAGCAATAGCTAACACAACAAGTTGAGAGTTCATTCTAAAAAATATTATTAGTCACGTACGTAGTCGTAATCAATTACGTTTATCCTCAAAACGTGCATATATTATGCACAAATTGAAGGTGTTGATATAGCGAAACATATATTCTGCATATTCATATATAACATATATATTCTGCAACTCTTCGTGTGAATAATTGTTTGGGGGGGTGGGGTGGGAAGGGGTGCTGTAGCAGAGTTCTCAAGGAGCTCCTGCCACTGGAAGAGAGTACAGGCAACATCCACACTCCCACACATACACGTTAAAAAGTAAAAGTATTAACTTTGCTCTTTAAAAAGTTGTTCAGCTCTTCAGCAAGGGAGCATTTCCCCACTACTGCCTGCAAAAGTGAGAAGATTTTGCCCACCATTAGCAATTCCTTCCTTTATTTTGTATGAACATTGTTGAACATTGTTGATATGTACTATGCAAATCAGTATGTAAATTTTTTGAACACTTGTGGATTTTAGCAAAACTTTAAGAGTAATAAAAAATACTATAATTCATCATAATCAAAGGTGAAATCAAGTGAAGAATTATCCACCTGAGTATAAATAATATATTTTCATACAAAATGCATAATTTCGGAGCTAAACAAATCAATTTTTTACAGGTATACATTTTCAAATTGAAAAGAAACTTAATTTGCATATCAACAAGACTCCCTCCTACAAATCTTATTGTTATAACAAACATGCATGGCAAAGTAAAAAATTAATATGTTGTCTAGAAGGCTGTGAAATCATATTTCAGATATTTCTTAATTTGAGGAAAAAGGAGCAATATGAAACAGCGCCTGCACTAAGTGCACCAGTCATGTCGATTAACATGTGCAGTCTGGGACCATCCACATACAGCGAATGTCACTCCACATTGAAGGGTTAATATTAATGAAGAAACTATGTGACTGGAGTGACTGTGGCAACAATTTCATACAAATGAAAATATCAGCCATTCATAAATGCAATTTTAAAAAAAGCATATTTTATCTAGCATTACATCTTGGCTCAAAGTCGTACCAATCATTAATATTAATGCATTTGAAAATTAAATTATTATTACAAATAAAAATAACTAATATGCAGCATTCACTCAGAATCACAATGTGTTTTACCATTTCTAACTTACGTAGTCAGTACTTTTAGAGGTACTTGAAAATGCTTGATAACTACAATTCACCCTATAAAATTGTTTAAAACTTCATCTTCTATCACTATCATCACATTTTTTAATACATTTTTCTGACTTACTTTTGTCTTTCTAATGTAAAAATAATAGCTGTGCTCCGGCGGTTCATGCCCAGTCCACAGCTATTCTTGCACATGAAAGTATATTGGACTATAAAACCATCAGAGCCTGGTTGGGGAGGCTCCATAGGTACCACTACGCTGCATCTTCCACTTTGAAGATTCTTCTGGTAGGAAGCTGAATTATGGAGGCACCTGATGATGTGTTCCACATGTGGGAAATCTGAGCAGACAAAATGAAGTAATAATAATAGCAAATAATAATAATAATAATAATAATAATAATAATAATAATAGTAAATAATAACAGTGAATAATAATAATAATAATAAATAACAATAAAAAAATTATAAAAGGTACATTGATATAATAAACACCAAAACAGGCACACTTTTAAATTTAATCTTAAACAAGACAACTGCAATTTAACACCACCACCACCACCAATAACAATAATAAAATAATATAAAAAATAACAAAAAACCACCTTGGTTGGATCTCTCCAAGTTCGACATATGAGAGGGGCAGCGTTTGACAGCCTCAGCAAATGAATCTTGGGCCAAATATATTGGCAATACTCTGACATATAATTCAGGTTCCACAGGGTTTACTTTAATCTTGAATGGAATGTTTGTATTCATTGCAACAAACAGTTTATTTAATGTAACGGAATGCTGAAAACAACAATTTTTGGTGAAAGTACTGACAGAAATAAATCGAAAAGCATTAGCCTTTGAAGATATTATGAGCCAAATTTATTTGAATAAAAATACATTGCTTTCTGTTAATCATAAGCAATAAATACACACAAAAATCCATTTTGGAAAACATATGTTAACATAATATTAACTACTTTAGAATGCATATAGAATTGGACTACCCTATAATCTGTTGAAATTAATGATCTATGCAGAAAAATTGTTCTTCGTATAGGGAATGATATCAAAAGTGACCTCAAGTGAAATGAAGTAAGCGTTTCAAACCAATTCTGACTCTCATACCAACATTCTTTTAACCAGTTCCCAACATCTAACCTTGCTCACCTACCTCTAACCACTCCTCACATAATTCATGTTCTACCAGGGAGCACAAGTCCCCAGGGTCCCGGGGCACAATCCCCTATGGCTTTTCGCCTTTATCCACACACTCTGCTTGACACACAAGTACACCAACAGGCTAGTATCTGCATTCCTTACCACAACCTCCCCATTTGATGCCTGAATTGGGCTGCCTAGCCCAGAGCTTCTAGATGTCCAAATAATGCACTACTCACATGCACAGAGAACAAGTCCTCTTTGTCCAGAGTTTCAGGCCACTGCCACTATGAAGCCAAGAACTCAACAGGGGGACACCCGAACTGAGGTCCAGGAGGCTCTGCCCCATTTTTATGTTAGAGAGAGAGAGGGGGGAAGAGAGGAGAGAGAGGGGGGAAGAGAGGAGAAGACAGGACAGAGAGGGGGAAGACAGGAGAGAGAGTGGGGGAAGAGAAGAGAGAGGGGGGAAGACAGGAGAGATAGTGGGGGAAGAGAAGAGAGGGGGAAGACAGGAGAGAGAGAGTGGGGGAAGAGAAGAGAGAGGGGGGAAGAGAAGAGAGAGGGGGGGAATAGAGGAAAGAGAGAAGTGTACAGTCTGTGAGCAGTTTTTGTTAATTTTAGCAATAATTCTCACAAACAATGACATGTTAATTCCTTAAATAAAGGAAAGACAATCAAGTCTGAATCTTCATTAATTTTGTTGTGGCTAAACAAATTCAACTCACCTCCCATTTTACCTTTACTTCGCACTTAGGCACCTCAACTTCGAAGTGATAGGGTCCAGGGTAGTCTACCATGGACGGATGAGCACTGGTGGATATAGGTGGAGGCACAAATGGCATTGCTGGGTTCTGTTGGGGGCTCGTACTGTCTGGCAAATCATCAAATGGTGAAATTTGCAGGCCTGGCTCCGCAAAAAAAATAGCCTGGTCTCTGAGATAATCTTCAACCTGTGCCAAAATTCAGACAAATTGATTTAAAGATGGATACGCCTAATCAAGTTCTATTAGGCACCACAAAACGTCCAACTCATATGAAACACTAGAAAATCTGCATTCATCTCCTCTGCAATATTCAATAACTGATTTGAGTCAAGATGTGCAGCAGATGAAAGGGAGGGTAATGATCTGTATTGAAGGGAGATGATATGTTACTGAAAAAATTACTTCACATATAGATAGACAGGGAGTTGGAAGAGGTTTCAAGGCATATCAGATGCACCATTAAATTATCCAACAAAAATAACAAAGCAAAATTTGTTCTAAATTTAAGAAAATGAGACAAGACACATCCCTACTTTAACCCCTAACATTGGTTATACTTCTCTGTCAGATACATGCATCTTGGAATGTTGATTATTTCAGAAGATTCAGGATTTGTCTTCAACTTCTTAGGAGCTACAGTTGTATTATCAGCATATTTTGTACCTTTGTTTAGTCTCAGTGCGAGCTTTGTATCCGAGAGATACAGTATGACTGTGTCAGAAAAAACCTTCAGCAATGGTACGCAGATCATTCAGATACAAAATGCTAGGAATATTTCTTGTATTGGTACAGCAATACACTTAAAAAAATATACAAGACTAAACCAGTATATATCTCTGCATAAACTAAAAAAATATTAACTTTAGAGCTTGTTGAAGCAATTTGTTCTACATGTACAAGAGACTCAAATACAGGAATTGTTTATTCATTTAAACATGCAATCCGTCTACATAAAACTGTACTTATAAGTAAAATATATCATATAATAAACTTAATTCAGAGTTTTTAAACAAAATCAATTATTAATTTCTCCTATTCTTTTCTTGTAAGTTGGTATTTCGAGATTGTCAAATCAACGTTAAATTTATTTACATATCTTCTAACTTGAGCTTTACAACATAAATTAGATCAGGCTGTTGGAATTATAAGATATTATGATCAAATCATGAGAGAGAAACTTCCAATTAATTTTTGATAGCAAATAATTACTGTCAATTGTCATTTAAGAGATCATGGGAAAAAAAATTGTTATTTAGACGAGATGCTTGTGAATTGATGTTTAAAATAGTTTAAGATTTTAATAAATTAAGTGTTTTTTGTATTTGAATGGGAATATTAAGAAATCCCACAAGTCAATATTTTTTCAATGTTGAGTTACTGATAATTTTGTACTTTAAATATGTAATCCAATGAATATAGAGAGATGTCCTGACATTTTCTGGATTGCCATCTCAGAATCTGAAGAGTAACCCCACTTGTGGGGAAGATAGAGACTATCTCAATATTTTGACATCATGAGCAGTAAAGAGTGGGGTGATAATTTGTTTCAAACAGAAAGAATAATTGGTTCTGTGTCTTACTCGACTGAATTTATTATTAGCCTATAAATGAGGACAAAATGCATGATCTAAAACTATTTCAACCACACCTAGAAGAAAAAAATCATTCACAACTTGAGATCTGATATATACATGGCCAACATGCATCAACGATTGAATGTAGTGTAAAGTATAATGCAAAACATAATAGAAAATAATACAATTTGTTTTATTTTCGTCCCTGTGGTATTATTAGTAATGAAGTATGCACTAAGTAACAATTTATGAGTATTTATGACAAAACATACAAAAATACCAGGTTTACTAAATAAATTTAATTTATTTAATTAATTAACCTCACAAAAATCAAGGTTGCCTACAGTATGTGAACATGCTTCTTTCTATCTTCAATTCAACTTAAATGATAAGAAAAGCTAAATTTCAGAATAAATTTAAGACCTAGGACATTTTTGTATCTCCAGTAAAATTAACTTTTTTGGTCATATGGGATTTTTCAATATTCCCATTCATTTAGTTTGACAATTATGTAAAATATATTTATCTGAACAGAAAATGACATCTAATTATAAAAAAACAATGGACACGATTGTTAAGTATAGTAACCATCAATTCGAATATAACTTCAGTAGGATTAGGCAAGAAACGGGAAGTGATGAAGTAACGCAATGAAGCAACGAAGGAAAATTTTTTAAACCTAAAATGCACATAGTTGTAAGATGTTAAGACAAATTGAAATAAGACACTGAGAAATAGAGACCAATTGAAAAGCAAGAAGCAGATCGGATGTTTTTGTTTTGGAATATAATGAAGAGAGTAGAATGAGCTGAATCATGGTGAAGTGGGGATCATAAGCTATGTGAAGGTGGATTTGCTTGATTAAGTAAATAGAAAAGTTTAGTGGCTAGAACTTTGCAGAAAGAATGCGGTTCAATGTAGAATAAGAAGTTAAGTTATGAAATCACATACAAATTAAGTATTAATTTAATTTTGATTTTGGAAATGAAAATACTGAATAGAAAAGGCTGTAGTCGTTCCAATAGTGCTTCGTGGTTGCTTAAGGGAAACATAATGTACTTAATATTATTTATATGAAGATCAAATAACGTTTTATGTTATTGCATGATATAGATGTGTGCACACTCTATAATATGAAAATGTTTACTGTGATCTGCTGATTTGTGTAACAAGTTGCATTGTTGCACAGCTGAACGGAGCTGAATTGAGTTGTGTGAACATTACAGCGATTACAAGGACTAGAAAATATCCAATAACCTTATCCAATCCAATAACCTTACAACCCACCTGATTCAAGGCAATGTTCAAGTGGTAAGAAAAAAACTTCACTTTAATTTACTTTTTTGACTCACAACTTTCTATTTTTTCATAACTTCAGTCACTAGTGAAAATTCAAAAGAAATTCAAAGAAAGGTTTTAAATTTCAAAATAATGGGTATAAATGGAGGAAAGAAAAAAAAAAAAAGAAAGAAAAGAAAAAAAGAAAGAAAGAAAGAAAGAAAGAAAGAAAGAAAGAAAAGTAGTCAAATATCCTCATGCACAAGTAAGAATATTAACACACCTTTATTGGAGAAAATTATGGTAAAAAAAAGCAATCAGGAAAGCAAAAGATGGAAAACAAGAAGGAAAAAAGTGAAGGAGCGAGAAAAAGTCTATGCAAAACTTGTCTTGATCCTTATCATCAATAGCTACAAATTTCATTATGGTAAAATGAATTAAAAAGGATCTAAAGCAGAATGCATGCATGCCTTACACCAATAATAAAAAATTGTGAAGGCCCTACACTCACCTGCATTATAACAGTCATCCATTCCAATGATCAGGAATTCTTCACTCTGTTCTTTGGCAATGAGGAAACACTGCTAATGCTATGGTGATCATTATTACAAAGATGGATACATTGCTACTGCATAGATTTTGAACATTTTAATTCATTAGGAGCAAGAAAACTGCTTTGTCTTTTTTAACAGCAAGAAAATTCTTTATTTATTATCATGAGCAGTAATTGTTATTTCAATAAACAAATTTTAAAAATTCCGCAAAATTGATTTCACCAAAGACACTTTTGGTTGCAAATAAGATAAACAATTTAGTAATATTATTCAGTATTTTCAAACTAACTACAGAAACTAAAAAATGATGATGATTATGATGGAAGTGCATGATTTCATATACAATACTCATTTTAAACTATATGCTTGGGTGGTATGAACAGCCAAGATGCAAAAAAGGGAAAATTTCACAAGTTTTGCACTTGCAACTTTAAGAATAAGCAGTTTTTGAAATACAGGTCACATCTTACCCCATAGAGTTGTTCCGATTTCAATAGCAAGTCAATTTCATTGGCACTGAAAAAAGGAAAAACAAGAAAAATTATCAATACCATAGAAAACTGATGTACAATTTTTAATAAAATATCAATGAAATTAGAATACTCACCTTGGTCCAGCAAAGTCTAATGCACATTGATTTAAATTAGGGGAGTCTCTGGATCGGTCATCCATGATTCTGAAATCGCACAAGAAATTAAAATCACTGCTGTGTAATCTCTTTAATAATCTTTCTTTTGCAAAGAAAAACTACAGCAAACATATTTTGCATTGTTGGGAGTTTAAGTACAGAAATGCTCTGGGTCTGAAATCTATTAATTGAATCGGATTGAAACAAAATTATGCTATTAAATTGCAATCACTACAACTCTTGTTATATTGATTGATAATTCCGAGAGCGTATACTGCTAATGTCATTAGTTCCAAAACGATGATGAATGTTCGTGTGTTGCAGGTCATGGCGGTGACCCCCCCCAGGGGGGGGCGAGATCCGGAGCCGACTTACCCATCGGCTAGCGGGCTTTTCCCATACGGGTATCTTCCACAACCTTCCCTCCCACACGGGGCAAGCTCTAAGCTCTTGACATGTGTGAAAGTGTAGTTGTGGTGTAGTAAATGTAACTACGTGTGTGTAAGGGGGTGACAATGTGACAAGGAAGAGGAAGGAAAGATCGCGTACGGTTTATGCCTCTTTGTTAGGGTACTGCTCTGGCATTTGCCCTGTATACATCGGAGAAAAGACGGAAAACTACAGATCAGAGCAACCTGCCGATAGAATGCTCCTCCAAACACCGACTGGATTCAACCCCGCTATGTTGCAGTACATTACGGTGACCCTCCCTCCCAGGGGGACATCGCACAAGAAATTAAAATCACTGCTGTGTAATCTCTTTAATAATCTTTCTTTTGCAAAGAAAAGGTACAGCAAACATATGTTGCATTGTCGGGAGTTTAAGTACAGAAATGCTCTGGGTCTGAAATCTATTAATTGAATCGGATTGAAACAAAATTATGCTATTAAATTGCTATCACTACAACTTGACCCCAAGCGACTCTCGGTCAGAAGCATTGATGTCCTGAACTGGTACAACTTTTGTAGGAGTAAATAGGTAGAGGTAGAAGAATTATTTAAAAAAGGTCAATCCTCAGTATTATACTGCGATTTTTCTAACTCTGTCCGTCAAGGCCCTACTTAACGGTGGATTTATGTCACTATTTCGCATCTTTCTTAGTCGTGTGGTTAGATGTCGCATGATCACGACAGGATCCAGCACTGCCATACGGTCGCGATCATACATCAAGCGGCACGACCGAGAAAGACGCGAAAAACAATGGCATAGTGCCAGCCCTAAAATTGAGCCTTGGGGGACAAGAGGAAAAATCGCAGCATAGTGCCGCTTACCCATGGTGGTTTACGCCTCGGGAGCTCTCCCGAGGGTGACGTTTCCACCATGCGCTAACCGACATCTCTGAAGCACCACCAACTGGAACACAGTGGTGGCAACCGTGTTACGCGTGTTTGAGAGCAACAAGTGGTATCCAAGCACGTGTAACGTGAGCGTCAGGGCACTTGTCTGTCACATGTGGCTATCCCCCAGCAATGTCTTATATACAGCTTCATAACCATCACGTTGCCTCTGGCTGTTCCACTTACATCATCCAAATGACAGTTGTGGTCAACTCGAGAATTAAATTGGTTAATCTTCACCATGATATTCTTTCCGAAAGGAACAGTTATGTTAACAGATAGTTTCTATAAACTCTCGGAAAGCTCTGCTCTAGAAATGTGATGTACAAATACTTCAACTTTAATTCACGATAATTTAATACTTTATATGTTTAGAGAAACATGCATACTGATTGTTTTCTAAACGGATAAACTGATGGTGTTGTATTATATTTTCTTGCGCCTTTATTTTGCTAATGTGAGAGGGGTGTGATATTGCGTATTTCGATGACAGAACTACTATATCAAATCTGCAGCTGGTTTTTCGATGAAAAATTGTTTCTATGACAAGGGAAAAACGATTCTGGTACCCGGATTTAATCAACAACGCTCGTCACTAACATTTACTTTTAATTCAAGTAATATTAGGAAAGGAACGGGGGTATGTATTCCGAGTTCAAGAAAGCTGTGCGCGTAATTCACCTTTTTCTAAAGATCCAGAATCCCTGCCTCCTTTCTGGAATTATGAATAAAAATTGCAACTAGCGTTGTTACCGCTTGACATTTCCGTCCCCGTTTAACAGAATCTATTTGCTTCTATAAACAAAAGTTTGATAGAACTGGCGTCAAAATCACTCCCTCCTCCAACCCTCAAGCAAACGGGCGCGGAATTACTTTAAAATTAAAACCAAGCTTCCTCAACATAACTTAACACTCTCCATCCTCTTTTGTTTTATTCCTGATAGGCACAAATCACTCTCCTTACCTGGATTTTTACTATCTTCGAGCAAGAGGTATAGACAGGTATAATGGCAATACGGAGGTCCCAGTTGGCACAACACTTATCGAAGAAAGTAAGTTGTAGAATCAATTGCATTCAATATCACTCACAAAATACGAATCACGAACAGCTTCACACACAACCAACAACAATAACGCTCCAAAACTCTTACTCATTACAATCGCCTTCTCAACTCAGACACCCTCAGTCCAGTGACACACGCACACAGCTCTAGAAAACGACCATCCACCACCGGCGGCTACCGGATGACTGCCGAGCCGCGGCTAGTGCGGAACGCAACCTCAACGTATTTGGCCTGCGATTCCGAACGAATCGCGGAAACGAACGATTCTTGCGAACGAGCGACTTGCGGCGGGAATTATAAAGTACTAGCTGAAAACGATTACAGAATGAAAAAAATGTAATTTGAACAGGTTAAAAAATATCCTAAATATACAAACAATAATTTTAAATTATTTATCCGAATAAGAAATTCCATTCCATCCACCAAACATTTCTAGGTAATATAAAACTACCTATTATAGAAAGTATTCAAGAGCATAATATTAATTCATCCGCTAAAAATCAATGAAGTAAAGCGCAAATGCAAGTGAACACTGACGATATAATATATTTTTATAAACTTTTTCAAGTAGGGTGATTTTATAATTGCGAGGGCACAGCAACTTTCGTATCTCTTGAACGCTTGTGTTTCGTCCACATCTTAACAATACATTTTGATTAAAATATATTTTAAATTCCATTTTAACACAGAAAAGGTTCAGAAAAAAATTACATTCAGGAAACGATTAATTTTCGGCGGAGAGGAAAGAAAGGATTCCTTTTGAGAGGTGACATTTCTGTAATGGTGGGCTCAAGGCTAAAGTTTGGAGGGGGGCCCTTTCCGTCTATACATAAGATGGCAGTTAATATAAATATTAATATAATTAATATTAATATTATTAATAATAATATTAAATAACAAGGTTAATATTAAATAATAAGGAAAGATGACGGTTTTGTTCTATTTGTAATAAATCTGCACAGCCCGTAAGCAGTGACTATTTAACGCATGGGCAAACCTGGCGTTACAGAAAATGGCTTCGATCTCTAAGGGGGCCTCAAAATATAGAAAACGTCAAACACACACTTCAAAAATTATTCTTAATTATGTTTCTTTTTATCAAAGATATCCATATCATTGCTTAGAGTAGGTCGTAGAGGCGCACGAGAATGCAAAATTCATGAACGCGGTTTCTCTTTTAATTCTTAATTAGAACACTTTAGCATACTACCACCTAAACGTGCAGGGTGTCACCAAAAGTTGTGGCCGGACGTGTCTTGAGACGACATTAAAAATAATAGATTATTATATTATAACAGCGGAAAACAACATAATTTTGACGCCATTATTTCAGTATCCGCAGAACCTATGTTTTAGCGGTTTCTTTTAAATAAAAGATAATAACGAGATCTTTTAAGAAATGTCCTTACACACTTTTTGATGTATCGTACTGTTTTTGAGTTAGAGTGCAATTTTTGAACACGTAAAGTAAAACGTTACTCTGGAGGTATAAACATGATTATTTCAAGCAAATTTTAGATAAATGCCTCGCGAGATCATCTCGGATTTTGATGCAATTTTGTATACATATGTATGTATGTATGTATAAAACTCAAAGAAACTTCTTGGGGATTTTAGCTTTAGGGGTGAAATAGTTTTTGAGATATAACGGTTTGTTTCGCAAGTTCGTTTTCGCAAACTTGGAAAATAATATTTTTTTCTACACATGTTTTTCGCGCTATTCAATGGAACTAATATTAATTTTTTATTTATTAATACGCAATGGGTAATTTGCATTAAAATACCACCTCTACCTTAGATGGTTCGGAACTGAAGTCCCTTATTTAAACTGATAGTAATGCAGACACAATTCACGTGTGTTTATTCATCACTGAATAAATAATACTTATGTGTGTCTGTGAATGTACGGGGAGAGGGGGCTCATTTTCGAATCCGCCAGGGACCTCAGGTTTTGAAAGCGGCCCTGCCCGTAAATGTGCTGGACACACGTGTCAAGCCTGAATCTAAGGTATTAAAATAATAATAATAATAATAATAATAATAATAATAATAATAATAATAATAATAATAAAACACCTTAGCTTATTTTGATGTAAGGGAAACAACCTTCGTACGCTACTCTAAAACGATGCGCCGTACGCCCTTAAGAAATGGGGATGCGACGTACAACAAAACAACGATGTTCACATTTAAACTTGAAGTTTAGTTTATTGTTTTGCTGCCGTCTATACCAAGAACGATACGACGAACAAGAACGATGACGACTTACCAAGCAAAATAATGCGAAGAAACATAGACGCGTTTCTGATGTGAAAACCATTTCGTTCGTACTGTCAGGAATTGGCGACGTACTGTAACTCTAAGCAGATCGTTGGAAGATCTACGCACGGAAATATGCACGGACCTACGCACTCAAATAAACATGCACAAAGTAATTATTCTGGCTAAAATGAGGTGCAAAAGGTACCTATGCAAGCAAAGAAAAATAACCATTTAAAAGAAATTTTCGTAACAAAATGATAATAATTAAAATGATTTAAGATCTTATTATAACTCTAAAATTTACAAAGATTTTAACACATCCTGAACGTGGAGCCCACTTCACTTGAGCAACACGTCTTGCCTGATATCCCTAAGCTTGCAGAGTTCCTTTGAGTTGTCCACTAGAGAGTGAATGTTTCCAATAGAGAGTGAATGGGATAAATGACCGGTTAAGCAAGTAATATAATAAGAGTGAATGATGCTGAATGAAAAAGAAGCAAATTAATGGATGTTACTTAGTATTAAGGAAAAAATTGTTAAAGTTAGGTAAGTCAAAGATCTTACGTAATAACTGTTAACTTAGATTTAAGGAAAAAATAAGTTTGTTTTCGTCATTAAGAAAAGCACCCCCTCCACCTGCTTAAGCCGTAAGGCAGTGGCTGAATGTACGAGAACTATGAAAATCAATCCTCGTCTCCACAAGGTTACTATGGAGGGGAAATTGTTAATGAGAGTACATTTCGAGCTTGGTCAAGAGACTGGAGAAAACGGAAAACAAGGAAAAAAATATAAAAATAAGGCAAAATACTAAAAATAAGCATCAAAAGCTAAAATAGGTACACACACACACACACAAAACCCTTCCAAAACAACTTCAGAAGTACAGTCAAGTGATTCCTACTGTCAAAAGTCATTTTCCAAACTTTCAGAAGTCGCTTATCATCAGTAAGGGGGTCACTAATCAAGATTGATTGGCGATTCCGTGCGCGTCAACTGCTAACGGGTCATTATACCGTAAGTGTAGTGCGTGTATTTATTGGAGGTAACGGTGATCTTTCCCCGTTGGATGGAAGAATTCGGCTCCGACCTACACTTCGGCTAGCGGCTTTTTTCGGGACATTGCCACGGCCGGGACAAGCTCGAAGTTCCCGACATAGTATGTGGTCGGTTATATACTCTCTGTATGTGGTGGTATAGTGTTTGTAAGTGTGTGTGTAAGTAAGTGGTGAAGATAAGACTAGGAAGGATCACGCGCGGTCCATGGCCGATTTGTTATGGTACTGCGTCTGATGTAGACCGGATAAACCACGGAAAAGTATCGATCAGAGCAGCCGGACCCTAGAATAACTCTCCTCCGGAAAGCGGCAATAGCTACTGTATGTACTAGCTAGAGTCGAAAATCCTGCCACCGTCGGGACCCGAACCCAAGAACCTCTCAGTCAGAGGCATTGCAGTTAAAAACGTATGTCCTGAGACAAGTCGGTTCACTAATCAAGTTCTTGGTAGGAAATATGGAATTTTGAATCATTTAATTAACTGTTGACACTATATTATTAATTGTAGAAATTCGTTGTGTTGTTGCAACATTGCAATTAGTTCGACATTGCAACGTAATTATTTGATTTCTTACGAGGCCATACCATTTTCAATCCTTTACCCTAAAGGATCTTACAATTAAAGTAAGAGATTATTAAGTGTTGAACGAACTGCTTTGAAAACGAACCGATTTTTCAAGCATCGTCAATGTTTCGTACATTACTTACTGTTTTCAAATCGCACTCTCTTCCTTGGATATCTTATCAATGTTCGATGTAAAAACGGGAAAATAAGATCCACAAAGGTACTCTTTGAACAACTTGAAAGATACGGAAACGAACGGCGTCTCCTTGCGTGAAAAGGACACGTCGAAATAAAGAATTTCTTGTGCTTTCCAGTTCTCGCCAGTGAGTCTATCTCAGAATGAAATCATGAGGACAAGTTCTCGTTTGTGTCGTCGATCTTTCCTTACCTTTCTTCTCTTCCTTCCGGAATATATAGATCAAGTCGTTCAACTGCTCAGCGACCGAATCGTTTTTCGTAGAGCGAAAGTCCGGGGTGGATTGCAACAGGTTGCAACAGGTTGCGACACGCTCAGGTCCAGAACCCAGCTGCTGGAGAGTTGAGGGGGAGGGGGGGGGAAGGCAGCAGAAGACGCGCAGGCGCGCTGGAGACGAACGAGCGAGGCTTTACTCCATACCAGAGAGTACATTGTATACTCCATTCTCTCTCTTTCTCTCTGCCCTTTTCGGCCATACGGAAGGCAGCCGCGGCGCGAGAAAAGTGAAATGGGCGACGTAGGGTGGAGAGGGAAAGGAGGGAAAAGAGGGTGGGGGCGGCAACACCAAAGCATTTTGTTTTCAAATCAGATGGTTTGACCTCAAAGTATTTTGTTTTCACAGGCAGTAGTCGTTCATTGTGGTCTGAAGATGGGGGAAAAACACGTTCATCGAAATGTCGCAAAATGAACCTTGTTTAAAGAAGAATAAAAACTTTTAAGTCGATGATTATGTGATTTTATTTCTAAATTTTTGAAACGACACGTGTGTGTCGAAAAACTCTGGCCAAAGTATCTTCTGATTTGAATTAATGTTCACGGACAATGTTCTGTTTTTGTGTATACTTTTACGTTTTTAACTTAATGGGCGGCTTGTCAGTTTTCAAATAGGTGGGACACATCCGTAATTAACAATATTTCTTTTGGATTATTTTTGGTTATCAGTTCTGTTCTCCAATATTGTTTGTGGAAATTCATTAATAACTTTACGTAAAACGTGTTCATAATAGTATTTTCTTCCTTGATTTTTTTTGCATTCGTTTGCCAAAATTTGTTATTAACACGTAAACGGGCCTGTGACAGGACAGGTTGTGAGTATGTTTGCAAATAGAACAGTTGCGGATAGACAGGAGCCATGTCCCCCTTTTTTTCTT